ATAAATTATGTTTCAGACGGAATGGGAAATAAAACGAAGCGATTTTTGGGAAAGAGAAAACGCAAAAATTTAGAAAATATGGCTAAAGCAAGAGCTAAAAGGTTTGTATTTATATGTTAAATACCACCCGCGTAAAATGTGCTTATTTTTGTCTGGTCAAAAGCGCCTGCACCTAATTAGATTTACTTTAATAACTTTTTGAAGTTATACTTCTTTAGGCGCGTTATGAAAAAATGATGAGAGTGAAATTTTAAGATGCGCGCGCATCACTGTAACACAAAATTTTAACAGCATGAAGTTGGTCGCTTTAGCGACCAACTTCATGCGTTACTTTTGTGTTTACCGCACATTAAGAAAATCTACCAACAAAATAGAAATAGAATCTCTAATAGAGATTCTCTATTTAGTGGGTGCTAACGACTGCATTGTGAAGGCCTATCAAAAGTATTTATTAATCTGGAACAACGGAACCAAAGCGCGATTCAGGAGACTACAGCGCCATCTCTTGACCATTGGTGTAGTAGAACCAAAAACTACATCTTTATTGTTTGTAATAAAGTGACAGTTATAGGTATACATATTTATAATATTTATCCATATAGTTTGTATATTCGGAATACGTGTTTGAGTTTCATACAAGTGCAAATCACATATGTTCTAATAAATTATATTCAGTAGCGATTTTAATTGAATATTTTGATTATTTATTTATTTTTTCAAATTAAAACTGAACTTTATTGACTGTGTCCTTTTCCAGACTTTTTATTAATTTATTGTAATTAATTATTTGCATGCAATTAAATACTAATTTTAAACGATGCCAAAGAAGGATAACTTCTCACGCGCCTACATAAGTACACGCACCCATTTTTTTAAATTGAATTTATGAGTAGGTTTATTCTTTCAGACAAAAAAAGAATTCTATTGAAGAACAGTCGAGTAAGCCCAATGATACAATAACCTTTGGTGATGCAGATCACGTAAGTATTTTAATTAGTATGGTTAGTGAAAGAAAAATGAAAATTTTCGACTGGTTTTGTTTAAAGGTAGATAATGACAATTGTTCTAAAGTGAGCTTTCAGCGTATATATTCATTATACAATACAAAAACTCTTTATTGTACACCTCAAAAACATTGAAAATTAAGTACAAAAGCATCTAGTACACGTGATGTACATACAAAAATTATAAATACAAATACATACATTGATCCAGTCCAGTTAGGAGGCAGTTGTAAGCATATCAGATATTAAAAGAAAAGTATTACAATGTCAGATAATGGGAATTCAGGCGGTTTTTAAATGTATAAATAGTTTCCGAACGTCTTATCAAAACCGAAAGAGAATTTCATAGATGTTAACCATGTTTAACCATGATGTCATCAATCATTATGTGTCATTGCGAAAAATAATAGTCATAAATTATTTTTTAAGATGCAATATATTGTTGAGTTCTACCGACTTAGACAGTTCCTAACACTTTTTTTAGGATACCGTCTCATCATTAAAAGAAGATTTTGTAGTCGCAGAAAATAGAATGCAAAGTACTGTAGAAGAATTGAACGATATTCAAGAATTTGAAATTGTAAGTATCATTCGATTATAATATTATTGGAATTTTTGTAATGCAACCATTAAGACAATATGACACAGTATCTATATATTTGTTTTAGGACGTAGAAGCAAATGTTTCAACCAGTTCACCATTTCGAATTGAAGGTCGAAGAATTGTTGATTTCAGTCACTTTTTTGATCAAATTAAATCATTATCTGATCACAATCCGGGTTTAGGTTGTTCAATAAGTAACATGCAAATTGTAAGAGAAAAGATCATTGGTTTGGAGTCCGTAATCTACTTCCAATGTAACATGTGCAACCAAAAATTTCAAGTGAATTCTTGCACAACTTCACTCGGTGAGTCCAATGATATGACTATAAATCATGCTGCGTTGACTGGCGCAATGTTGATTGGCTGTGGACGAACTAACTTAAATGAGTTATTAACAGCTATGGACCTACCAAACATAAATCAAAAAACCTATAATAAATGTCACAGTGACGTATCCAATTGGTGGGCAGTTGCTGCAGAAACCAGTATGAAAGAGGCAGCTAGAGAAGAAAGTGAGCTAGCAATTGAAAGTGGGGAAATTATTGATGGAATTCCTGCGATCGTAGTTGTAGCTGATGCGTGCTGGTCTAAAAGATCATATGGAAATAATTACGCCGCAGCATCGGGAGCAGCTGCAATTATTGGATTTAAAACTGGGAAAGTTTTATTTATGAGGGTAAAAAACAAATATTGTGTAGTATGCGCCCGATCTGCATCAAAAAATCAATCGCCACCCATCCATCAGTGTACTAAAAATCATGTAGGATCTTCTACAAGTATGGAACAAACAAGCATAGTCGAGGGATTTAAAACTTCAGTCACCACTCATAACTTGATATACAAAACTCTTATAGCAGATGGATATCAATGACCTGATTCCTCTGCTGCATATCAATGACCTGATTCCTCTTGGGAATATTCATTGCTATGCAGACGATAGTACAGTGCATGCGGGGTATCTCGGACAAGCAGCGGCTGGGCATGCAGTAACCAGGGAGAAACGGGAAAATCTTGTCATTGAACTCAATCAGGCTTTGGAACACATTTCCGAATGGGGTACCAGGAACTTGGTTGGGTTCAATGCCAAGAAAACTCAGGCTTGCGCTTTCACGGCAAAAACATCGTCATTCCTTCCCCTTCCATCTCTTCAGGGCACAACACTACCGCTGCAGAGCAACATTTCCATGCTCGGTATGGAAGTTCGCTCAGACCTGAATCCAAAGGACTACATCGAAACCGTGATCAAAACAGCTTCACGCAAACTCGGAGTCCTGAACAAGGTGCGGCGTTTTTTCACGCCCGATCAACTGTGCTTGTTGTACAAAACGCAAGTGCGGTCCTGCGTGGAATATTGCTCGCACCTCTGGGATGGCTCCGCCAAGTACTTGCTCGATGCTTTGGATAGGTTACAGCGACGCGCGATCCGCATCATAGGCGATGAGGAGGTGACTAAACACCTTGAGCCTCTTCAATTACGCCGTGACGTGGCGTCACTAAGCGCGTTCTATCGTTTGTACCACGGCGAGTGTTCTGAGGAGTTATTCTCTCTTATCCCACCTTCCCCTTTCCTTCAGAGGACCACGCGCGCTGGCCTACGTTGTCACCGTTTTACTGTGGCCACAATTCCAACGCGTACAAAGAAATTTGGTGACTCATTTCTTTGTCGCACTATCCGTAAATGGAATGCTCTGCCCGCTCACGTGTTCCCTCCCTCTTACAACCTGGGATCCTTTAAAAGAGGCGTGAAGAAGCAACATGCAGGCCGGCAGGGTGAGGATGGCTGGTGTGGCAGGTAGAACTGCTGTATCAGCTATCTTCGCGTCTGGACTTCACCTTCACTTAACATCAGGTGGGGTGTAGTCATTTGTCGGACCTAACTATAAAAAAAAAAAAAAAAAAAAAGATGCAAGCACTTATAAAAAAATATTGGAAAGCAGGCCATATTCTAATGTACAAGTGCAGAAAATTGAATGTTCGAACCACCTGCTTAGAAATTACAATAGTAAACTTATGCACCTACAAAAGGATACATCTATTCCACTTTCCGAAAGAAAACTTTTAACAAATGAACGAATCACTCGACTTCGTACGGCCGTAAGAGCAGCTGCTCGCTTTCGCAATGCTCAGAACACCAACAGTTCCGATAAAATTATAAAATTAAAGGATGACATAATAAACAGTCCAAAGCATATTTTTGGTGATCATAGTACTTGTGAAGAATATTATTGTAAAGAGGAAAAGAAAAAGGAGCAAAATCTGGTCCCTTTGCTGAAAACTCTGTTTAGAAAAGTAATGGTACACACAATACAAATTGCACTGAACTCAAAAAGCTTGCTTTGTAATTTAAATAACAATAGAGCCGAACAATTCAACAGTATTGTTGCAAAGCATGTAGGTGGCAAACGTATAAATTTTTCATTGAAAAATTCTTATACGGCACGGTGTCACGCTGCAGTTGTAGCTTTTAATACTGGCAAAGCCCAATACACTTTGTATAAATCCAATTTTAAAAAAAGCCCCAGGAGATCAATTAAGCTGCTGGAGTTGAGACGATGCAAGAATAACCGCAACCGTAACATTAGACCAGGCTTTAAAAAAAAAATCGTTTTTCAAGATGATAGAAACGATTATGGTGAGAGATGCCAAAAACCAGATTTAACGCCGGAACAGTATGAAACTGCAAAAAATATATTTTTGCAAAACTTGAAAGGCCTGGTAGAAAAGCGACATGAGGTAGAACGAGACACAGTATTACAAGCTGAAAGCGCATTATGGCTGGAGCTCCGAAGATGCCTATTAACAGCCTCATCTTTTAGTAAGGTACGTTCCTAATACGAAATACGAAAATTATCCGGGAAGTTTTATGTTGATGTTATTCATACTCATTACTTTTTTAGGTTTGCAAAAGGCGATGTAATATTAGCTCTGCCCCACTTGTAAAGTCTCTTGTCTATTCATATTCTTTGAACAGCGTAACAGCCATTGAATATGGAAAGACAAATGAAAAAACTGCTATCAAACAACTGGAGCAGCAAGAAGGTATCGTCGTGCAAAAATGTGGACTCTTCATTGACCAAAAATATTTCTTTTTGGGAGCGTCTCCAGATGGTCTATTCGAAGAAGGGATCGTCGAAATGAAATGTCCATATTCGGCGCGTAACATGGATGTTGAACAGGCCATAATCCAAAAAAAAAATTAAGTTTTGGAAAATTGATGGGTCACTTAATACCAACCACGACTGGTACTTTCAAATCCAAGGCCAGCTCCATATCAGGTGAGAATCACTATCAATTTACTTTATTGTAACGACTAACGTTTGGTTGACTGTGCGTATTAGCTCAGCATTGATAGAAATGTATTTCAATAATTTACTACACCCCTTTAAACCTACCTCCATGATAGGGCTCGAGGCGAGCACCTTCTTCTCGACCTGCGTTTCGCTGGCGTTCCCGCCCACTGCCGCGAAGTATCTCATTGCATATTTCGCCGAAACTGTTTTACCCGCCCCGGATTCACCGCTCACTGATAAATATAACAAATATAAATATTAAAATATAATATTTACTTCAAATAAATATCTTGAGAAAATAACAATAGATTGAATAAACGCCATGAATTCTGAGTTACCTGAGAATCTTAAAAATGTGTAAATAAAAATAGTGCGAACAGTTACAAACAAAATTAAACGTTTACAATTTATCCTAAAACGGCGCAAAGGACAATGGGCAAAACGCACCCAGCTCCGCCAACAATGTAATTAGTATGAATCGATAGATCTATTAAAAACTAGCCTTTTTCATTATGACACCGTAAAAAAATATCCTGGTAATCAAAAGATATGACAAATAGGCATTTTAAATATGCCCATGTAAATTCACTTTAATTTTAAGTAGCTAAATAAATTCACTTTATAGTGCCTTCATTTTATATTATTAGTAACCATAATAATATGCCATATCGTACTAGACAACCAGATATATGACAAAGCCTGCCGACCATCCTGCGCTTGCACTTACTGAACCACCTCAAAACGGTTTAGGGGGGTTGAAGGACTTGCAGTTGCAAATACTCCACTCGTCTTACTTCGTTGTGATTGTGCGCTCCCTGTCACTTGATTGATTTTTATCTAACACGCTTTGTACATTGGAACACGATTATCGGTTTTGTCAAATAGTATGGTTGAACTGGAATCAAGTTTTCTTCGAAGAGTGGACAAGTTTGTGTGATTTGTGGTCGCTTCGTTTTACATAGAAGACAATTTACTATTACGAACAGACTGTTTGAAAAAAACCCAACCCATGCGGGGATTTTTGGATTTACTCTAACGCGGCAGAATAACACAAGATGGCACCCTTGCACCTTGTGGAGTACTCCCATAATACCTGAGCCCTCTATGTAGGGTCGAACTAACTAAATTAATTCCCCTATTTTATTAATGTTCGTTCGTTATAGGTATGTATTAACTTGTACTTATTTAACTAAAAATAACTAAAGACCCCCGGGGTGGAATTTGATGCGCTTTGTCACATATGATCATGACTATAATACCTTTCAAATAAATGTAGTTTAAGCCGTGGCAGACGTGGATGCAGCGTCCATACATTTTTGCCCAATGTCCTTTGTAAATTCCATACCATTATTTATTTATTCATTATTACCAAAATACAGTAAATGGCGGACTTAATACCATAGGTATTCTCTATCAGTCAACCAGTATGTGTGTATGAGATGGATGTTTTGGCGATAGAGTACTAAAGTTAGAGAAAAAAAATATCCTACTGAACTATACTATACTATAAAACAATAAATATATATTATATATAAATAATCCGTTAAATTATCTGTTTATAGTAAGTAAATCGTAACATCAGTTTTATTTGTATCAATTTATGACAATTTAAATGGTTAAGGTTTTAGCCTTGCAAAATTTGTGAGACATTTTTCGAAAATAATAATTTATTTTTTTAATAAGTTTTTTTTTTGGAAATATAACCTATAATACTTTATCTGAATGTTTTAATTCGGATAACTTAAAATTCACTGTGTATATGTACGAACAATTCTAAAGATTTAGAAAAGATTGTTAAACAAAATTAAAGAATTTGTAAAAAAAAACAAATTTTTATTAATTATACATATTCTTATAGTAATGTCATTTAAAAAAAGGAAATTTTAGAATACGTTTTGTACACCCTGTATATTATGATATTAAGGCTAGCTTGAAGATACGATACCAATCAAGGAAAAGAAATAGAAAGATATAGAATTACTCATTATCTTTATATTCCTATAGTAATGTCATTTAAAAAAATGAAATTGTAGAATGTTATCAGTTTCATTGTTTTGTACACCCTGTATATTATGATATTAAGGTTAGCATGAAGATATGATACACCAAATATCATTTTTTTAAGAAAATATTTTAATTTATTAATAAGGGAGCTGGATGCGAGTAGCCTAAGATCGATCTCAGTGGCGTGCAATTGGAGAGGCCTATGTCACGCAGTGGACTAAGATAGGCTGTTGATGATGATGATGAATAAGGGAAAATAAATAGAAAGAGATAGAATTACTCACCGATTATACTCTGATCTCTCTTCTCTCTCTCCAGTTTAGTGTATGCCTCCTCTGCCACAGCGAATATGTGAGGGTCAAGGTCCCCCATGGACTGACCTCTGTACGCCATGATGGTTTCATCGCCTGAGGATATTGTGCTTTATATCTTATAGTGTAAGGTTCAAAATATCATTATGTTTTTCGATTTGTTATTGGGATTTATTATTATAATGATTTTTGACCTTAGGCCTAATAGTAGAGTCTGTGCGGAAAGAGAATGGGCGTGGCGAAAAACGGAACTAACAACCCAGTAATCTGTAAAACGTCAAAGTTTTGTATTGATACGGATTTGTTTGTTGTTGTGATTTCTTGCGGTTTTTTGTATTTAATCATGTCTAAAAGGGGTAAATAAAACCTTACAAATACGGTAGAAAAACACTACAGCGCCCTCCGATCTAAATCCCATTCTCTTTCCGCACAGACTCTAATTGCTATTGTTTTTTTTATTTCTGACAGCCGAAGGTTTTCAAATGATTCGTGCTCTTTTTGCATCGTACACGTCTTGATCTTTGGTCGTCTTGTTTTACACAATTTTGACTTAGAAGTGACGTCACGAGCCCCCACTCGCAAACATTTATATTTTAGTTACCTACAATGCGAAGAGATGGCGCTGCCTTGCAGCTTAAGGCTAGAAAAATTTCGACGCGGCTAATAGGGCCCTGGTAGCATAATGGTCAGTGCATTCGCCCGGATTGCGAAGGGTGCGGGTTCGAGTCCCGTCCGCTGCCTGGTCCGCGTGGTTTTTTTTCTAGTAAACTTTTCTTTAGATTTAACACATCTAGCAGTTAAATGCTTAAAAATAAATAAAAACATAATTTATATTTTGGTTGATTGACAATAGTAAAAAAATGGTGTTTAAATGTTTTGATAATGCTACAGACGGACAAAATAGAATATCATTAACTTTATCCTGTCATCATCCTTATTGTACTCTAGAGGAGGCCATTAAAAACCACGAATCAATTTTTATCACTATTGTAATAATAATAAAAATAACATCGACACACAATCATTCAGCAATTGTTGTGCCGATAATCATATCTGCCCATGGTTTGATAGCCAAGAGCATCGATAAACACCTTAAGAGGCTCGCGTTAGGTAGTTGGGTCAAGAGTCAAATGCAGAAGGCAGTACTTCTGGACACGGCCCGTATAGTGAGGAGGTTCCTGTCTCTGGATCCTTAACCACTGGTAGCAGGGACCCTGATTTTGCTGCCGATGGGGAACTGCATTATTGTATTTTTAAATGTTATACATTGTAAAAATTTAATGTTTAGAAATATAATTTTGTATGTATTTTTAATGAAATAAGGGAAATAAAAATAATAATTTTCTTTATTGCACACAACAAAGGACACAAGGCATAAACTTATAAAATGAAGAAGAGTATACAACAGGCAGCCTTATTGCTTAACAGAAATCTAAGTAACCTTTGGTGGTAAAGGAATAATAATAGGGAAATATGGAAGGGTTCAAAAGTAGATGCTGGAGATATCTTTATATATATAATTCTTCTGTGAGTGTGTATGTCACTGAACTTCTCTTAAACGACTGGACCGATTTTGATGAAATTTTTTGTGTGTGTTCAAGGGGATCTGAGAATGGTTTAGATTCACAATTTTGTCCGCTGGACAACCCCTATTTTTTTAGGGCGGTAAGAAGTTCGCTGGGTCAGCTAGTACTTACATAAATATAAGAGAAGCAAAGAAATAGAATATAAAATGAATTGAAGATAAAGAAAGGAAATAGCTTTTAACTTGATCGCAAGTGGTTAGCGCGTTCGGCTACGATCGTTGTAGTTAAGCAACTTTCGCAGTGATCGGTCATTGGATGGGTGACCAAAAATTTACTATCTCGAGCTCCTCCGTGCTTCGGAAGGCACGTTAAGGCGTTGGTCCCGGCTGCATCTGCAGTCGTTAACACCCACCAATTCGCAATGAGCCTGCGTGGTGGGTCACGGCCCAATCTCCCTATTCCATCCATAGGGAAAGCCTGTGCACCAACATTGGGGACATTAATAGGCTGATGATGATGATGATGATTAATCGCTAAACGAATGAAGTGAACGAGTCTTTCTGATACCCTCAGGAAGAATTAGACAGTCGAGCAGCGTGCACAGAAAAGGAGAAAGAAAACATGTCAGAAGAGTGACAGGGAATCTCAAGAAGTAGGTCAGAAGAGGATCTCAGAGAGAGCTGTGAAGAAGAGGATAGAAATGAGAAACACTGCTTAAGATAAGGCGGGGAAGATGGCAGGAAAAGTATAGAATTGAGAACCGTAAGAGTGGGTAAATAGGTCTCTGCGCCGGAGAATAGGGAGCCAATTTAGTTTATTACGGAAGTGAGACAAATGGTCGAATTTACGGACAAATTACTATGTATCACTAATATTAATGAATCATTGTTATGACATAACAAGGAATAAATAATAAAAAAAACAGCGTATGTACAGAGTACGCACAGAAAAAGAAGTGAAACGAACTTTCATAAAAATAATTTTAAATAAATAAATATTTTCAACACTCACACTAATTCACCTAGTCCAAAAGTAAGCACTGTAAGGCTTGTGTTATGGTATACTAGGGTAACGGATAGAATACATATATTGTACATATATAAGTATATTTATATAGAAATACATATGAACCATCCATGATTGGAGTACAGATGCTCGTATTCATAACACAAACATCTGCCCCCACCGGGATTCGAACCCGGGACCTCTCGAGTCGGTACACCGTGAAACCCGGCGTTTAAAATCGTCAAATCGTGACGCGGCCTTGAAAAGTTACCCTCATCGTGCGCGAAGAATTTTCATTTCAAAATGTTAAAACACCTCTATCGACTTACCATAAATGGGTAAATCATAGTACGGGTTAATGGCGACCAGTACAATACCGCAGTACGTATAGATGGCGTTGCGGTCGCAAAATCTGAAACAAAAACAGAAATATACACACTGGTGAGTTTCTAAATATTATTTAGAGGCTCGATGGCGCAGGTTAGCGTTAGCGCGTTCGGCTGCGATCGGTTAAGTTAAGCTACTTTCGCGATGGTCGGTCTTTGGATGGCTGACCTAAATCATCTATCTCGAGTTACTCCGTGCTTCGGAAGGCACGTTAAACCGTTGGTCCGGCTGCATCTGCAGTCGTTAGCACATGGCCCAATCTCCCTATTCCATCCATAGGGAAGGCCTGCCATGGCCTGAAATTAATAGGCTGATGATGATCTTAAGGCTTATTTGCACTTCGGTTAGTACAGTAGCGAGTTAACTTACGGTCTTGGCTAATTAATTTCTTGTCATCGTTTGGACCGGGTATTGCCATTTAAGTTCTTACTGCTGAACTGTCCAATTTCTAAAATCACTACTGTACTCCGCTTTAAAATAAAACAGTGTAAACTCTAAACGACACTAAAGGGCAAGGGCGGATCCAGGGGGGGGTCATGGGGGTCATGACCCTCCCCTGGGCTGGGTACAGATGGACCAAACCCAGGGGGATTTTATTTAAGTAATTTCAATATTTAATATACCACGACTATATGACCCCCCCCTGGCGCCAAAGCTGGCTATATGAGCCCCCCAATGGCGCCAAAGCTGGATCCGCCCTTGATAAAGGGACTGTACATTTTATGGCGATATAGAGAGTTGTCGTTAAATAGAAAGAAGAAAAATCAGAATTAAAATAAGAAAAAGTTTATTTCAAGCTACTAGTTAAGTACATAAAAAAATAATCTTATTTAAACGCTATTGCGTATATTCTGTTATTTTTGTATGACGTCTTTTGCTGCACCAGTAATTTTGTTGTATTATAATATTTGTTTTAATCATGGTCAACCACACTCTACACGTGCAATCCCAATTTGTAAACAAAAGATAGAATTTCTTAGAAAGTTTGGTTTGCATGATGCCGGCAGTCGAGTTTATTACGGGCTAGGTTAATAAAGCGACAAGAAAACGTACACAGCTGTACGATTTTTACTAATTTTGGCAACTTAAAAGGTAATTTTTATTACTTAATTGTTGTCGTTATTGAGAGTGGGTGTAATGCTATATGGAATATACCATTGTATGGAAAACAAAGTAAACCAAGCAAAGACGAGTGATTTAAACGCTTTAAGGAGTTTGTCGTTAAATTGCGTGACGTTACATGGGAGTTTACACTGTACTTTCAAAAGGTTTCAGATCCTGAATGTAGAGGGACAGACAGACGCGGTTTTGTTTTATGAAATAAGATACGAAAAATCTGAGATATCTAAGAATAAGGGTAGTTAGCCCCCATGAAGGGCTTATATTTTTTCATATCTAACCAGCTTATCTTACAGCAACAAAATATGCCGTTTATCTGATATCTCTAACTGCTTTTGCCTCCGAGATATCGCTGTGGTTTCGCTAGCGTAATATTAGACTGGCGTAACACGCGTTTTTAGGAGAAATCTTGGAGCAACAAAATCAATTCTTGCGGCACAAAATAGCAACAAATTAGCAACAAAATACTATGTACCTTAGGATATGAACTTATGAACTTGTTACGCTAGGGTAATATACCTAAAAAAATGACCTGACCATTCCTTTTATCTTAGTGTCACCGCACACGGGCCACACGCCGCAGCCACAAACACCGCCACGGGAAGCTAGAAGCGGCTACTAAAGTGGCTGAAGCGCGCGACAGCGGCCGACTAAGGTAAGGGAGAGAGGGGTGGGGATTCGCGCGAGTGACGTGTGGCGGCGTCTTGTATCGGCGCATTAAGTGGCCGGTGCGGGCCACAAGAAGCGAGCAACGACGATTTGTAGCGTGTGGCGAGTCCATATAAAATGTATGAAAACTACAAGAAATATGCCGGTGGCGGCGTTTTGTAATTGTGGTCGGTGGCCCGATGACCCACGATGTCAAACAAAATACCTTTTTCAAATTTGGATTGTAAAAATAGAAACATATTTGAGATCGAAAGAAAAATTATACTAAATAAAACAGTTTTTACGGGTTATTTGCACTGAATTTATTTATTTATTGACGTTTTACACCCTTTGCAGGAGTGCACCATCGGAAGCAATTTAATGAGTGATGTGCGTGAAAGCCTAAGAAACAAATAAAATTATACTAGAAAAAAATCCACGCGGAACAGGCAGCAGACGGGACTCGAACCCGCACCCTTCGCTATCAAGGCGAATGCACTGACCACTATGCTACCGCGGCCCTGTTGGCCGTGTTGAATTCATTCTAGTGTTTTTTAAGCTGCTAGGCAGCGCCATCTCTTCGCATTGTAGATAACCCACAATGTCAAATAAAAACCTTTACAAGTATTAAACATATGAAAGAAAAAATAGCAATTATAATTATATTTTCCTTTTTTTTTAAGCTTTTAACTGCTAGATGTTTAATAAATCTAAAGAAACATTAAAATAAAATAAAGCACAATAGCCCGGTTAGCAAAACGATTGCGGGTTCGAGTCTCGTCTGCTGCCGTCGTCTGGTCCGCGGGGATTTATTTCTAGTATAATTTTTCTTTAGATTTCAACATCTAGCAGTTAAATGCTCAAAAATTTGAAAAATATAACCATATTTTAGATGTTTTATCTAATGTCGCCACCATTTTAGATCTTTTGGACTGAGTGAAGTTTTACTATATTTTTTTTTAGGTTTATAAATGTAGCTGTTCAAAGCTCAAAAATAAAAGGAATATTCAAAGAATCTGTCAAATCACAATTTCCATGATGATCGGTACTAATAGTTAGTACCGATCATCATGGAAATTGTGATAGCCTTAGTACGAGTTTGAGCTCACGAAAACTATCATAGTTTTCGTAATTGTAAATTATGTTTCAATGTCCATTTTGGTGAAAAGTAACCAAACATACTTAAAATTTAAGAAGCCGCAAATGATTCAATGGTAGAATTTAAACACTGTTTATTTGTATTGAAACGAAAACAATAAAATCAGTACCCTTAGTACGAGTGCGAGCTCACGAAAACTATCATAGTTTTCGTAATTGTAAAACTCGTACTAAGGACTGCGATTGTAGAGACAGATACAGAACATCTTTCTTACACATGTTGTTACAAATAAAATTCCTTTCTTTCTTTAATTCATAACATTTTATTAAAGATAAAAGGTCGCCAGCCTTTAACTAATGATAACTAATAATCTATCTATACTTATAATAAATCTGTAGAGAGGTCAATTCTGTACATGAAATATATTTTCAAAATAACTATCAGGGGGTGATTAGTGATCGATACTGATGCCAAAAATGCAATCAGTAAAATATTTATCTGTCTGTCTGTCTGTCTGTGTGTATGTTCCTTATAGAAACAAAAACTACTCCACGGATTTTAACGAAACTTGGTACAATAATTCTTCATACTCCTGGGCAGGTTATAGTATACTTTTCATCACGCTACAATCAATAGCAGCAGAGTAGTGAAGGGAAATGTTGGGAAAACGGGAGAAGTTACTCCATTTTTTAAGCTTCCGTCGCGTGTGCTGCCTTAATGGTTAAAGTTACATAGAAATCATGTATGACGGAAATATTCTACATAAAATTGTCTAAAAAATATTCCGCAACAGCATATGTCTATCTTTTATGGTTGACTCACAATAACACGTGTAATTATATAAATAAAGTCATTGTTTATAGCACAAGCCTGAGAACAAAAACTATAGTTTACACTACAGATCTACACCGAAACGAAGCGAGGGCGGGCCACTAGTATTTTAAATAATATTATTAAAACTATCATAGTTTTCGTAATTGTAAAACTCTTACTAAGGGTACAGAACAAAATCCCCTGTCCGAATCAGCATAATGGTTGCTCAAGGACACACCAATTAGGGTGCGGTAACACCCACAAGCGATTTGCGGCTACGGTTCATTAGCCAAAGCGTGGCTTTCAGCGTAGTGGTAATACCCACAATTGTACACTTTTGTTTTTGTTGCTACAAATACATACTCTGCTCATAAATTTTAACTGTTTCGATGTGACGTATATACTGCGGCGAGTTCGAGAGCGAATGTCCATTTTGTTTTTGATGTAATTAATAGTTTAAAAAAACTAAAAACATGCTTTTACTTACTGCACTAAAAAGTCAAAAATAAACAAAATATATTGTCTGTTTACTCCATTAGGGCTTTAGAGTAAGCCATGTTTATAGTTGATTTTAAAATATATATATGCTCGTTTTATAATAACCACCTTGCAGATCTTTATATATATAATTCTTCTGTGAGTGTGTATGTCACTGAACTTCTCTTAAACGACTGGACCGATTTGATGAAATTTTTTGTGTGTGTTCAAGGGGATCTGAGAATGGTTTAGATTCACAATTTTGTCCGCTGGACAACCCCTATTTTTTTAGGGCGGTACGAAGTTCGCTGGGTCAGCTAGTAATATATAAAATTCCTGTGTCACGGTGTGCGTAATTGAACTCTTCCGAAATGGCTCGACCGATTTTCGTGAAATTTTGTATGCATATTCAGTAGGTCTGACAATCGGACAGCATCTATTTTTCATCCCCCTAAATGTTAAGGGTGTTCCACCATTTTTTTTTTGTAAAAAGTTTTTTGTTTTTAATTTTTTATGATTTATATCATACAAAAATACATACAATCCCAAATTTTCACCCTTCTAGCACCCATATTTTTATGGCGATACGAAGTTCGCTGGCTCAGCTAGTAATATCATAAAAACCTAACCATCTCAAATAGTCCGCGACCGACTGTCGGTTCCAGGGGGTCAATCGCCTACCAGAATTGCTTTGGGTAAAGCTATCGCTCACGATTTTATTTAGTTATTTCTGACCGCCGAAGGTTTTCAAATACTCATTGTCTTTTATTTATATTGTTGTTACCAACACAAAAGAAAAAAAACGAGTACGGGGCATTTGAAAACCTTCGGCGGTCAGAAATAACTAAATAAAATCGTAAGCGATAGCGTTAGCCATAGCAATTGCGTTAGGCGAATGGCCCCCTGGCAATAGTCCGACCCGTGGTCAAAGACCGACAGACGGTAACGCGCCAACCCACATGCTCTTATCATCATCATCAGCCTATTAATGTCCCCACTGCTGGGGCACAAGCCTTCCCTATGGATGGAATAGGCAGATTGGGCCATGACCCACCACGCGGGCCCAGTGCGGATTGGCGTGTGTTTACGACTGCAGATGCAGCCGGGACCAACGGCTTATCGTGCCTTCCGAAGCACGGAGGAACTCGAGACAGAAGATTTTTGGTCACCCATCCAATGACCGACCACTGCGAAAGTTGCTTAACATCAACATCGCAGCCGAACGCGCTAACCATCCGCGCCATCGAGCTCCATGAATAATATTACATTTATTTTTTTATCTTTTACCTACATTCTTATAGCAATATGTTGGGGAAAGAACAGGCTCGCTAATAACAGCGTCGCCGTGTTTGACGGCGAGATCCCATATGGTGTTCTAACCTGACTCTCAGGTTGTGCGAGTCAGTCATTAATTCGTAACATTTGCGAGTCCGAAATGTCATTGTCAAATGTGTACTGATTTTTAGTTCTCGTTGCGTACTTTGTGCCGCTGCTGTTCAAGTTTCCATACAAAATTTGACATTGACATTTCGGTTTGCAAACTACAGTAAAAGCTCCTTATTCACGTTTCCTATATTCACGTTTTCACTATTCGCGGATTAAAAACTTACGACCAAATCCCCATATTCGCGGTAAACAATTTCGTTATTCGCGGATCTAATCAAAATATAAAGGATATGGTTACCTTTGTTAACGCATCGGCAGATGGAGTAATTATAAAATATATAAAATAGACCTTATTTTAATTAGTCTACGGTATGTTGTCAAATGCTATCGCCGGTGCATAAGATGGTTTCGCCTTTTCTTTTGATATGAGACGCTGTTTGAGATAGCAAACAATCAGAATAATGTTTATGTAAAACAATCTTATTATTATATGCATAAAATATATTGTTATATGTATTAGTATCATATCATATGATAATATCACATATGTAAGTTAGGCGCTCCGCCATATCCGCTTTGCGTGGTTTACTCACTCCTCTTTTCATTCATTCCAAAAATTGTGATCAAGTAACTCGTCTCTTCCGCTGTGCTCTTAAATTATAATTTCGACAAAGATAAAATTAGTTTCGACGTGATAAATATCAGTTTTACCGTTTACATTAACAGTTCTTTAAACGCTTGCTTAAGCCTGACAAAAATTAATTTCAATTCATTGATTAGTTAAAATTATAGTTGTTTTTTGGTCGCTTTGGAACGTATCCCCTAATAATTTCATATAAATTACCACTCCATATTCACGGTTTCTGTATTCGCGGCATATTTCTGGAACGTATACCCCGCGAATAAGGAACTTTTACTGTATTCGAATTCGATAATGGTTCGTGCTAGGGGTACTGTTGGCTCGTGCAAATAAGACAGCGATGGAACATTCATCTGATCGTTTTATATTTAGTAGCCAACTTGCCGGTCACGGCCCAATCTCCCTATTCTATCCATAGGGAAGGCCTGTGCCATAGCAGTGGGGAAATTAATAGGCTGATGATTATGATGATGATTAAAACAATACCTTATAATAGTTGCATAAATAACTATTACAGTGTCAACGGAATTGGCGAGGAAGCGGCAAGATCCCTTAAAAGATTTTCTTACCCGACTCTCATGTTGTGCGGTACTAATTGCTCGTGCAAGTAAGACAGCGATACATTCGTCTAGTCCACCCAACGATATTAAATACCCTAGATACATCAACACGAACAAAATCGTACCCGAAACCTGTCCAAAAGGTACATTGAACGATCCACGGAGCTCCGTAAAATGATCGCGTAGTCAAAATCAATATAAGGCATTATTTAAATATTGAAAGTAACCTTTAATACATACTGTATAAGGTCTTAAATAAAACGCATGTGTCAAGGACTTTTGACAGTTCGTAATGCTCGTAAAATTTTACGACTTATTGCTATATGCGGAAGAATTTAGGCCTTAGTTCTTTGACTCTACGCGCAATTACGCGTTGTTAGCAATATAGCAGGCACGGGCCGCGAGGAAAAGAGACGGTTATGTGGCGGCTATAGCCCAAGATCGATCTGAGTGGCGTGCAATTGGAGAGGCCTATGCCCAGCAGTGGACTAGGATAGGCTGTTGATGATGATGATGATGATATGGCGACGTATAACCGACCATGCATTTGAATATCACAAATATTTTATATTAAATCAGTTTATAGAAGTATTAGATCAAAATTTGCTTCAAATGCGTTAAATTAACAAACATTGACAAGATACGAATATGAAAAAACGACACTTTTCGTACTCTTAGTATTATTTTTGCATTTTTTCGCGGAGCTCTGTGGCATCTTGACTTGTAACGGTCCGCGCGTGACTGTGAGCCAAGAAGTACCTGAGTGGAGTTCAAGCACTTCTTGATTGATCAAAATGTGTATAGGTATTTAATATCGTTGACTCCACCAATATCATGAATAACTATCACAGCCTTAGATTAAAACAAAAAGTGAAGATACAGTACACGCGGCTCAAAAGTGATCCGCTTAAATTGTGGTGCATGACCACAATTCGCTTTAGTCACAATTGGACATTCAAACACGATGCATGTACATTCAATATGACAATATTGCGTATATTCTGTGTTGTTAAGATAAAACAATGCCTTCGATGCTTTTATAAAGAACACAAATAGTTCAAGATCAAATAACAAATCCCACGGCAAAGCTTCTCATTTGTAAAACTATAATAAAATCATTTTTTTCTCAAAAATCACGGTTTGCTATGAACGTTAGTTACTGATCCGTCATTTTTTATCAAGAAAAGGACAACAATACAACTCAGCCGTCTGTAGAGAGAGAAAAGAAAAAGCAGTCTGCTGCAAAGCGACGCGGACTCGCCGTTTCGCTCGCGCTGCGTTGAAGCGTACAGTTCTGTCTCGCTCGCTCGATTGAATGTTTATATACAGACGTGTGCGTGTGTGAGAGTTGCTTATAAAGTTGAGTCGGATTATATTTTATTTGATGCTAGTATGAGCGTACCTTATCTTTCCTTTTATTTTCATGTAAGTGTCGCCGCAAACGCGTCACACGTCACAGCCACAAACGCCGCCACGAGAAGCTACAAGCGGCTACTAAAGTGGCTGAAGCGCGCGACAGCGGCCAACTAAGGCAAGGGGGAAAGAGGTGGGGAATCGAGCGGGTGACGTGTGGCGGCGTTTTGTATCGGCGCATTAAGTGGCCGGTGCGGGTCACAAGAAGCGAGCAACGACGATTTGTAGCGTGTGGCGGCCACCGGCGTACCGTGTGTGGCGAGTCCATATAAAATGTATGAAAACTACAAGAAATATGCCGGTGGCGGCGTTTTGTGGTTGTGGTTGGTGGCCCGTGTGCGGCGACAGTAAGATCACAGCGTCACCGGGTTTGGGGACGGCGAGATATGGTTTTCTTACCTGACCCTCAGGTTGTGCAGTACGGCTGGCTCGTGCAAGTAAGACAGCGATGTGAGGTCATTTTGACCTATGAGCAGTGACGGATTCCTTAATGGAGGCATTTGTTTCTCATCCGTTATCTGTAAATGATATCAACTTTAGAAAATTACGCCTTGAAGGGGTATCGTCATAAAAATGACATTGGCGATTTCTTTATGTAATAGATATTTTATGTAGCACAATCTGTCATCACATGAGTTGTTTCCATTGTGTGGTTTATTAGGTCAATCTAGGTATATAAATGATGGAAGCACAAACCTTTATTTGTCGTATCTCCCCGGACTGGTCCAGTTTGACGATGAGGACTCCGGAACGGTAGTCTGCTGTTACTGTGGCACTCTCCCACACTTTCTCTGGATGGTCCACCCATATCCGGGCACCCTGGTTGACATATAACTCGATAAAACAACAGCTTTTAAATAAACTTCTGCAACATAGATAATTAGTCCCTGGATCATATCTTTTTCTTTTGCGGTTCATTTTAAGTACAGAGAAATTTGCTGACCTTTGAAGTACTTTTGGCGAAGAAACCATCCCGCGCGACTTGAGAAAACTTTTACAAAATAAAGACACCTAAGTACATTCCTTTATACAAATTTGTAAAAGCTACAATCAAGACACTTTAAAAAAGTTAACAGACAGGGCTGTATGGACTTAGAATCCTTTGCCCGTCCCAACAGGAACAAACTGACCAAAAAAAAATGGGAATGGAACAACGCACGCATCACTCATACATATGTATATACTAGCTGTGCCCCGCGGTTTTGCCCGCGGTTTATTAGGGATATTTTCCCGCAGTAAAACATCGCCTATGTTTTAATCCAGGGTGTCACCTAACTCCATAGCAAATTTTATTAAAATCGCTCCAGCCGTTTAGACGTGAAGAAGTAACAAACATACACACTCACACACTCGCAAACTTTCGCCTTTATTATATTAGTGTGAGTGTCGCGTGTGACGCTCATAGCGTTTCAGCCTTCGCCGAGTTACCCTTGAACTTTCATGCTCGTCAGGAAGAGCTGCGCACGCATCCCACACACACACATATACTCTATATCGTGTGACGCTCGTCCGTTCGTACGCATTTCCGTTTCATCTTTTCCATAGGATTTTTCTATTTGCAACCCGTCCAAATAGAAGTTTCACTTCATAAACCGAGTGACATCAAACAAAATTATTTATTTAGTTTAGGCTGATACAAGCACTCATGAATGCCTCGAAGCTACGCCATCGGTTCGTAAATCTACGGCGGGAGACCTTGTACTAAGAAGCGGTAAGAAACTCAGTAAGGGCTGTTTTTTCTCCCTGTATTATTATACAGGGTCGTCAAGTTGAAAAATGACTTCAGAAATGATTCATGAAGTCACTCTTCATTACATAATGTGAGATATAAATTAATTGTTCACCTACATTTTGATTGCTGTTTCATACTGTATAATTACAAATAGTGTTTTGTTTATTAGGTGTAACTAGACATTAACATCAATATATTTCAGGATTCGTTATTTTCTTTATTAAGAATATCATTATTTATTGAGTTTATGTTCATATGTTTATGATCGAAAACGATATTGGGTACAAATTTTGAATCGTTCAGCGGACTTCAGAAGCCCTTGGTACAGAGATGTTAGAAAAGTTTACTAATATTACGACCTCATTGAAAATTTCTTTAGAAAAATGACAAGTTGATATGTGAAGGATCGCTATCCCTAATCTACAGTAATGTATGCCATATTGCATAAAAAAACCTATTTAGCTGTTTTAACGTAATACATAAATTATAACATCAAAAGGATGTGAACTTATATACATATAATTCATTTATCATCCTGCTTGTGTTCCGATAATTTGTAATGATTTGATGTTGTACAACAATATAACAATCTTGAATGAGTCATGCTTATAATTAAATTTAAACTATTGAAATAAGAAGCAGCAAAAAATACAAAGCAGTGCAATTTTTATATCCAATCAGATAATGGAATACCATCACAGATCCAATCAATGATGAGCGTACTAATAGATGCTATCAGTTGTTTTATCAGATTAGAAAAATAAAATTAACTTTAAATTATGCAAATTGTAGCATAATAATAATAATAAGAAATCAAACTGCCTCTATTTAATAGTCACAAATAAGATCTTTTACCTAACAAAATAAAAACTCGACAGTGGAAAAGCATAATCGTTAATACGCCACTTTGGTGCTAATTAAAAATTAACATTAAATAATAGTGAAATAAGGTCAATTTTTAAGCAGCAACGAAGTGGGGTATTACTGCCGTCCTCAAACTAAAGTGCAGCTAAGTGACATGTGGTCGAATTTTCAGCCCTAAATTGCTTTATATAGTTTTTAATACTATATCGATCTGTCTTTAACAAGTATGCGTATCTGTTATAGTTTAAGTCTAAAAATCCGTCATATACTGAATGGTTACAAAATAGCAATAATTTTAAGTTCACAAGCCGTTTTTTGGCCATATCTCAAAGGTTGGTTGTGTCATTTAGCCGCATTTTAGTTTGAGGACAGCAGTATGTTTTCCACTGTAAAACTGTTCTTTTCATAGTAGTGATTCTTATATATAGATTAATTTGTCACTTAATGTAATACTTGTAATGCCCTACAATCCTGTCCAAATTGTGGTTGCTGTCTGGACTTTGACAATAAATAAAATTGCATCATATTTTTGGAACCTTATTTATGAAACAGAGTACAATAATATACATCCAAAGGCCGTGTTACTTAAAAATAAAAGTACATGTACTATCTTGTTAATTATTAAAAAAGATATCTAACTGTGTGTAAATAGTTATCATAATTAAGTGTTAAACTTTTAACAAATTTATTCTATTCATGTGCCACAATCTAGTGACCAACTACCGTATAATTAAGTGCAATTATGATAATACTTGAAAAGCAACCAAGCACATAAGTGGGTATGGTCGCAAAAAATTGTACAAATATCATTTTCGTTTTGTCCCCATTTTATTTTTCTCATAATTTCGAAGTTATTTGATAAATGTCATTTGTTGAACATTGTTCTGAATGAGGAGCTTCTGTTTAGATTATTTTGACGAAATGTAACCTACCATCCCTAAAAAATATATGTAAAAAAAATATAATTTAAAAGGTAGTGCTTTCACTCCCATACAAAAATTGTTTGTCCAACTACCACCTTTGTATCAAAAATTGCCAATAATTCCGAAAAAAAATAGTTTTTTCTAATTATTAAATTGTACTCATGCTTTATGATACTTTCTCAACGTGTTTCTAAACGTGCTTATTAAAATAGCGTTTCAGTTACATATTTAATCGTTTTTAAAAAAGTGTCCAATTTTATGATGAGTGTGTAACGTCATGAATGTAACGTTTGTTTCTACCAGTTTCCTTTATGTGATTTGATAATTTTTGCTATTTTCATAAACTGCAACACTATTAAGCAAGATAAAACATTCAGAAATAAAAATCGGCCATATTTTTCCGAATAAAAATCGTAATTTGTGTTGACTTCAGATTTGTCGCCAATAAATATTGTTTTTTGTATGTTTGATTGCAAGGTAAGTACTGCTTGTTGTGGTATACTGTTAACGTGTTTAGAAAGATGTATTATCACAGAAAACGGTAACCCTACGTCACAATCCATAGTTGTTTGCAGTTAAATGATATTTGAATTTTAGGTCATGTCGCACGCTTTTTTGTGTCATGAATGTTACAATGTGTAACGAAATGTGTAACGTTACAATCATGACCGATTCTAAGGCGGAGATTACACTATTTTACTAAAAATATAACCTTACCGTGACTTCGTCACAGTTAACTTTGGTTTTTTGAGAATCCTTTGAATGTTTATATGTTCGTTACTCAATCACGCAAAAACGGCTCAATGGATTTTGATGAAATTTGGCACACATTATATGTGTATACTATATTGAGTAACGAACATACAAACTTTCACATATATTATATTAGTAGGATAAAATTAAAAGAAAAGTTTACTAGAAAAAAATCCACGCGGTCCAGGCAGCGGACGGGACTCGAACCCGCATCCTTCGCTATCCGGGCGAATGCACTGACCATTATGCTACCACAGCCCTATTAGCCGCGTCGAAATTTTCCTAGCCTTAAGCTGCAAGGCAGCGCCATCTCTTCGCATTGTAGGCAACCCACAATGTCAAATGAATACTTTTTCAAGTATTAAACATTTGAAAGAAGAAATAGCAATTATAGTTATGATTTTATTTATTTTTTAAGCATTTAACTGCTAGATGTTTAAATCTAAAGAAAAGTTTACTAGAAAAAAATCCACGCGGACCAGGCAGCGGACGGGACTCGAACCCGCATCCTTCGCTATCCGGGCGAATGCACTGACCATTATGCTACCACGGCCCTATCAGCCGCGTCGAAATTTTCCTAGCCTTAAGCTGCAAGGCAGCGCCATCTGTTCGCATTGTAGGCAACCCACAATGTTGTTTTTTCTAGTAAACTTTTCTTTAGATTTAAACATCTAGCAGTTAAATGCTTAAAAAATAAATAAAATCATAAGGATAAAATTAGTTAAAAATATATATTCCAGATGCCTTTGACCAATGCCGAAAGGCAAACAAAATATTGTGAAAAGTTACGAAACCAAAATCCGTCGAAGTACGAAGAAATAAAATCAAAAAATGCAGAAAAATATAAAAAAAGAAAAAAACCACGGAATGTACTGAAGACAATAAAAGATTGAAAAGAAAACAGTGGCGAGCCAGTCAAAATCGTCGCAGAATGAAGTCAAAAGATACTGCGAAAAATAATAATATCACTGAAGTGTGCTGAAACTCATGAAAACACATTCTTGGTACGAAAACTACAAAGAAGATTGGCTAACCAAAGAATATTATATGAAGAAAAAATCTAAAGCCAAACGTTAATCAAAAAAATATAATATCACCACCACAGGCCTAGAACTATTTAGTACCAGTAGAACTACTACAATAGGTTCTATTATGAACTAAGCTTTATGATGGTCATGTATGTAACGTTCTGTCATGTACGTAACGTGTGTTACGATGTCATGAATGTTATTTGTACAATTTTTTGCGGCCATACCCAAGTAACAAATTAATTAAGACAGTAAAAGTAATCATTGCTATTAACAAAGTGAATTCATTAATTAAAATTGAACGTATTACAATACTTAATATATCAACAGTATTTCCGTTTTTTAAAGTCAAAATTAGTGAGAAGGAAGTTCGAAGACAAAACACAATCAAAACATGAAATAAAATAAAAAAATACCAACCTTCGTGTATAGTTCTTTCGTAGTCATTTTTGTATATTCTATTTCGTAATTGTATGTTTAAATAAATTATCTCTTCAACATTATTTTACCACGAGCTTAGAAATTATTATTAAATCCATTTTAGAAAGAAGGTAGATTTGAATTGGAATTACTAATTTTCAATACGAAACGTCATTGATTGTTATTGACATTTTGGGACAGTGTTATCAGCTGTTCCATTTCATTTACGTTAGTTTACTAGCAGCACACTACTATGAAGACTTCAGAAACGCTAATTTCCTGAGTATTGAACTGTTTCCCTATTTCCATCAGGAAATATTAAATCTTATAAGATTCTTAGATGATCATAAAAAACTGCATACAATGCTGAAAGTAGGGAAAGTGCTTATCACAAAATTCCCACGGGTGTTACCATGATAAAATATTGTGCAAGTAGGTCAAAGTTACGTTTCGTTCTTCCAAAAAAAAATTATGTTGCTGTACAAAGTTACAAAAATTACTAAAAAGAATTTGATAGAAATAAAAAAGTGGGGCGGTTTTATATTTTATTTCAGATTTTCTTACATTTCAGCCTTAGATGCTCTCTATATAGCTTCGGTGAAGCTTTAATATTTTTTAATACATTACAGAAACTTCAAAATAATAAATATACTGTGATATCGTTTTCTCCGTATGTATGGCATGCTTTTGTCGTATCGTATGAGTAGCTTTTTAACAATTCACTTGTTTTCTTGAGATGGGAACCAAGCTTGACAGGCTTCCGTCGCTATTTCACAAAGTGCTGTGAAAGTTTTACCCCTTGATTCGTAATCTGAAAAGTAACAGAAATATTTTAGTCCTTAACATTTTATTTGATTCGAATAATTTATTTAGTAATTACTTTCAAAAATAGTCCAATTGCCTTTTGAACTTTTGTTGTAATGTAAACTGACGTATGTACTTGTCCAAACAGTCAAAGTTATAAATAGTAACCATGTAGTGATGAATAGTACTTGTACGTGACACTAATGTGACAAAATAGTACATATTTAAATGCAAAAATAACAGCAATTAAAATTAAAATAAAAAATGGGTGAATGTCTGCCGTTTTTAAATGTAGCCTAGCTTCAACAGTAAAAAAAAATACTAAACCGAGTCGCTATTAATGTTGCCAGGGCATGTTAACACAATATTAAGTATATTAAATATGTATTGATCTCCTTCAAGATAAAAATTCAAAACACTTTTATTTACCACCTTTTTTTTTCATTTAGGTAATTCAGTTATGTTCAACACATTTACAGTAAATACAGGTAAGATAATTCAGTTCACTGGCTTATTGTAGGTAACTTACCGGAAGGTCCCCTTTTACCAAACATGATGCCATTCATGGGTGCATTTTTGTAGTTTGCCTCTCCTACTTGCACCAGCGATAATAACACGATGACTACGCAAGCAATAGCTATGGTGATTCTCAGCATATCTCCAGACATCTGAAACACGAAAAAGAAAGCAGCTTAATAAGAAAATGATAATAATCCAGATTATTATACAGAACCTTAGTGGAAAGGCATAAGACAAGTATTAGAAAATTTAAAAAACAAATGCCTAGTTAATACGATTTTGTTAAATGCACAGTGAAAATAGACTTTTGAGAAGTCATTATCAAGTGTAATGTAAATTATGCGAAAGATAACTTTAAAAATCACAAGAAAGAAAAAAAATACAAATTTATCCTAGTAAGTTGTTGAAAAAATATCACACTTCAGAATACTAAAATTATTCTATAAGTATTAAAATTATTGGATCATATAAACCTTATATGCATTAATAGACCACTAAAAAGGACATAAGATTTATTACTTAATGAGATTATGAAATATAATTTAAAGTTTTCTTTTTAAAACCTTTTTAAAAAAAGGATTATCTAATCCTAAGACAAACTAAGACATAATGTTACATAATTATTAAAATTATTTTTTATACCTTTGTGTAATTTGAGACTTGGTGCTGGTATCCCCAATGAGCTGAGCTGTCAACTGATGCTGTTCCAAGATTTCCCCGCCATTTTATACTGGGAAATTTCAATATGGCGTCTCGCTCGTAGTCCACTTATTGGATTACTGGATACTGACCACATATTGACAAGATATGGGGCGAACCCACAGGGATTATAACTTTGTTAGTGCATACGATTAGCAATATTCCAAGTATTAACTTTGGATACAAGCGAAGCGCGGCTATCGAGAACTTACAAAGCTGCCTATATTAAAACACTTGCATTAATAGTTATTAATGCAACTGTTTTATAATGAGGGGTATTAAATCACGAATGTAGGTTTATTACACGAGGCGAAGCCAAGTCTCATATGAATGTTTTAATACCTAATTAACAGTTGCATGATATGAATCCTCTATAAAAGATGCTGAAACCATGCGTGGTTTTTTTTTTTTTTTAAAAAACACACCAATTAGCCTAGCCCCAAAGTAAGCACTATAAGGCTTGTGTTAAGGGATACTAGGGTAACGGATAGAATACATATACTTTACTTGTATAAGTATATTTATATAGAAATACATATTAAACATCCATGACTGGAGTACAAATGCTCGTGTTCATCACACAAACATCTGCCCCCACCGGGATTCGAACCCGGGACCTCTCGAGTCGGCGACGCCATGAAACCCGGCGTACAAACCACTCGGCCACGGAGGTCGTCAAGTACTTAAATTCATTCTGTGATGGTGAAGCACGTGAATGTCAATGTTTTTTTTAATTCATCATCGAGCAGTGAAAATTGTGGGTGTCTGATGGGTAAGCCCTTGGCGCGGAAGGGATGTAAAAAGCTAAAGAATGTTATCATGAAAATTATAAAAAAAAACGAGCGAGCCTTACAGTAGTCGCGTATGATGTGTAACATTAACCTCACCTTATATTAGTAAAAAAAGAAAAAAATCTTACAACAAAGGGAATAGGCCATTTGAACATTATGTTCTAAAATCTAATCAAAAAGCGTGCGCTTTCGCCACTTCTTGTTACACACTTTCGTCCCATTTCACGAAATCACTCCCACAAATTGCACGAAAGCGAGAGGAAAGATGTTACACATCAAAGACGAGCGAGCCTTACATACAGTAGTCGGGTATGATGTGTTACATTTGAATCTCACCTTAAATTAGTAATAAAAGAAATAAAACCTACTACAAAGGGAATAAGCCAATTCATCATTATGTTCTAAAATAAAATCAAATAGTTCGCGCTTTCGCGACTTCCTATTACACACTTCCGTCCCTCACTCCCACAAATTGCAGGAAAGCGAGAGGAAAGATGTTACACATCAAAAAACCTTTTATCACCCAAACGGTTGTTATCTATAATGGTTTCTATCTACACTCATGTCGAAGTATTCGAATTACGAATCTAAAGATGGTTTTATAAAGACGTACTTTATAAACGCACATACATAAATTTATAAATAAACTCATTAGGTATACTGCTAGCTGTATCGATAAATAACTTTATAATTATCATAACACTACACTTTTATTCTTTATTTCGCATTCGAAATTTGAAATTAATTTCTTGCTTCAAACTTTGCCTATTGGTGTGGTTAAATCGAAGTTTATAGCTTTTTCGTTTTCGCTTCACATTGAACAACACCAGCGGCTGTAGCTGTTTGCAGTAGAACAAAATAGGTAATAGAATAGATGAAGGACAATATTATCATTATTCATTATTATATCAGAAACTCCATTAAGCATTGCAAAAATCTTATTAGAAGTCTATCAACCTTATTGATTCTGTGTCCCAATGGGTAAAGTGCAATTTCAGCAACGTATAAAAAGGGTAGCCAGCATAGTCCTTGCATCAGTTCCATCATCAGCATCGGAAGCTACACTTGAAAAAAACATAATTTTGAGGTGATTTTTTTTCTTTAATAGAATTGGCAAGTTGGCAACACCATTTTAAAACTTAACTCAAAACAAAATATTAACAACGCTTCAAAGTAACTTTGCTAATAATATATTACAGGCGTTTTTCGATTTTCTAGAACGAAATATGTTGATATTCAACCATATAAACTACATATTTTATTAATTAGTTACTTTTCAGATTTATGTACTGATTAATATTTATATTTACAGATATTGAAATGCGTGCAGTATTCGCCATATTCCTTATCGCCATGGTATTCTACCTCATCCATAATACTGAAGCAAATTATAGGAAGCCTCCGTTTAATGGATCTATCTTTGGTAAAAGGGGAACTGTTGGTAAGTAATATTTAGTGTTATTTGTCCATTGCGGAATATGAAAATGACTGTTGGGTGGTGACGCCCCATGGAAAATACCTACAAGCTTGAGCAGTGAGCATAATAATGGTAAACCGTGATTTAGTCAGCAAAGGGGCTAGGTGACTGGCGCGTTCGGCTGCGATCGTTGAAGTTAAGCAACTTTCGCAATGGTCGGTCATTGGATGGGTGATCAAAAATCTTCTATCTCGAGTTCCTCCTGGCGTCGGAAAGCACGTTAAGCCGTTGGTCCCGGCTGCATCTGCAGTCGCTAGCACCCGCCAAACCGCACTGGGCCCGCGTGGTGGGTCATGGCCCAATCTCCCTATTCCATCCATAGGGAAGGCTTGTGCCTGCCTTCCGATGCCAGGGGAAGGCAGGCGTCCGGATAAAGCCGGACATAGCTAGGCTTTTTGACTGTGTGTTCGGCCAAAATAAAAGGTGTCCAGCTTGTTCGGATTTTACATTTCGCAAACGAGCGCAAGCGACTTGACTGTCGGTCGCTTTTTACATAAGATTTTTGGAGTTTACTCCTTAAGAATCGATTTGCATATATAAGGGGCCCGATATGAGAAAAATGTGAGGAGTAACATCTATCGATGAATGACATTAATGACCTCGTTACGTTTTTGTGCGCAACCTCATCTGCGCACCTTTCACTTTTAGCCATGGCAACGGATAAAAAACATTAAGTTGTCACAAATGTCAATAAAATAAATAAACTAAAAATAGATAAAATCGGAGCAAAATTAATGAAAACAAATAAATAACAGAATATAGAGAAATGCTGGTAAGTGTCCAGCACTCTGGAATAGTGATTTTCAGTACAGATGGAATTATAATACATGTTTACAAAATGATGACTAGTGTGTGATATAAATTTGTGAAATTGTGTGTTTCCAGAAATACATAATAAAATATATGATGAATATCGCTGATGTTAGATGATAAAATGTGTGACATGGAACCTATGATAGTCGAAACCATGGGACGATTCCTGAAGTATCTCTACTTGTAACCGACTTCTT